CAAATCAGTAAGATAAGAAACTTCTAAATTATTTCAGTTTGGAATCTGACTCCCATTGGTACACCGGCAGTGTTGGCAGAAAAAGAGATTTTTGGTGTTTAATTCAAACCATAAATATTTGAATTGTTATAACTTTGTTTAGATACATTCTAGCACCGGTACTTCTTTTGGCAAAGTTGTTAGGCACTCGACTATAGTTGTACATACTTAGTTGCACTGTTTATGCTAAATTGTGGTCTCTAAGGATAAAAATGCAAAAAAGTAGGTTTTCCCATACTAATTTCCATACAAATTTGAAACGCAATGCGGAAAGCCGAGTTACAACCAATCGTCCCCAAATTTTGCAGAGTTGTTTGGGACTTCAAATGGCACCAAAAGAGGTTTGTTCTCGATTGATGAGGTAAAGTTTATCGTTTTACCATAAAACGATGACCCACTCTATTTTGTATAGAACCGTCTCTTGTCATGTTTGTCATATTAAAAGATAGATAATAGCTACTGTCGTCGATCTGTGAGCTGAAAATAGCTGGGAATTTCTTAATATGGCCGTGAGGATGCAAAGAGAAAGTAGACGAAGAGAATCTGTCAATGTTACTTATTAGGACCTAATGCAAGCTTGATTTCTTCAGCACGCGTTCATTGAACGCACGTGTAGTCTTTCAAACTCAGGTGTAATCTGCTCATCGAACGTGATACTTCGTACCTGTACGCAAGTGTGAACATCGGCTTGCTATGATGCAACAGAAAGGGCAGACAAAATCGATGAACGCTTCTTATAATGACATACGAGTGGTGAATGTCCAGGTCTAATACACTCAAAGTTCATGGTTCGAGCCTGATCTGTTCCATTTTATAATTCTTTTTGACATCATTCATTATTTCCAATGCCAACTGAGCCTGGTAACTGCACTTGAGTTTCGAACGATGTTCAAACGCTGAAGCAAACGATGATCGAACTTAAACATTGTACTCACGTTGAAGTGTGTGTTCATTTGATGGAGTGCACGCGTGAACACAGAGTGAATGCTTATGTAAGTTCAAAAGCCTGCTTGCACATTGGTGCTAGGCTGTACCGTGAAGACTGCAAACTGGTCATAGAACAATGCTATGGGTAGTGTCAACCCGAAAATCACCTTTTGTGTATTCCTTCTACTGGCCGGCAGTGTTATTATGAAGAACTCTCTCTACAATGCTGCATTTATGGTCATTCTAGACAGCTTTATTCCGGGAGTTAGAAGGTGATGCAGATCCAGCAACCCATTTCAAAATGTCTGGAAAGTCACGCCTTTTCCGAGGTTACTTTCACTTACAATAAGCCCAGCATGTATGTATTACCTCTTTCAATTGGATATTAGTATTACATACACACTTCCAGGTTCAAAAATATTCTTTTCAAACCTAGCGCGTATTTAGTTTAATTTTGATGCTTAATTTATAAATAATAATTGGCTCGATCTCACCATGTTCCGCTGGTCTGCCGACATTGATGGCTTCTTTTGGAATCCCTTGTACTTTTTCTCTAACGCTTCGTATTTCATTCCGCACTTCACCGGCAATTTCCTTCCGTAGGTCGTCCTTGGTTGGTTCTGACATGATTCAGCCTTATCCGGGTTTTTCTTGTTTTCCGAGGGTGATAAATCCGCACTAATTTCCGTACCTGGTTCGATGTTTACTCTTCCTCGCTGGTTGGTGTGGTCAATCTCATGCCCACCATCTGTTACTGAATTGCCATGGTCATCTGGCATAAGGTTCGCGTCTTTAGTCGCTTATTATCCGGCTGTGACCCATGCAATTCTGGTTAGAGGGGGCAAGTAAAAACAACCACCAGGGTAGTTCAAAAAATGATCTTCATATAATATATTTTCAAAAAGTGGTCTTCAGCAATGTTGTAGCTGATTAAATTTCACATGAGAACAAATAGCAAGCTTATCCGTAAATCATTGGCTAGGACGATGAGAACAAAACTTTTCACTTTTCCCATGTAATCTTCTGAAATTAAATCATGTCCAAGAAACTTCTTCAATTACGTCAAAACTAAAATGAAATCGTGCAGCTATCCATCAAAAATGACATTGGATGAAAAGGAAGGTAATAATTCTGATGATATATGTAATCTTTTCGCAACTTTTTTTTCAAGAAACATACACGAAATTTTCAGATAATGATCGTGATTATGAATATTTTTCTTATTTTCCTGACTTTTCAACCTCTGTTGGCGTTAATAACATTTCGCTTCATGATATTTGGAATGGCCTACGAGATTTGGACGCCACTAAAGGTTCAGGACCAGATGGAATCCCACCTATTTTTATGAAAAACTTAGCAACTGAACTCACAACCACTTTATTCTGGCTGTTTAATATGTCGCTTGAATCCGGTATATTCTCGAAGGAATGGAAAAAATCTTTCTTAATACCCATATATAAATCAGGTAAAAATCCGATATTCGAAATTATTGTGGGATTGCTATCATTTCATGCATTCCAAAACTCTTCGAATCAATTATAAATAAAAACATTTTTGGCCAAATAAAACAAAGAATAACTAGTGCACAACACGGCTTTTTTAAAGGCCGTTCAACCATGTATTAAATGCAATGGACAGAGGTACGTATTTCGACTACAATGTGCAGTCTTCATCAGTGTCATTCCCACTAAAGAACTTATCAAAATCTAACCCCCTTAAGTACTCATCCCCTAGGTAAAAAAAGTCAAGTTCATAGGTATAAAAATGTGTTGAATCGGAACCTACCTAACTAATAAAAACCAAAGATTTAAGTAAGCTAAAGGAGAAAAATCTATACAACTCTCTAATAAAGAAAATCCCCAAAGGCTTGGTAGCCATCATAATGAAGTAATGAAATTGGGTTGTTAGCGGAATGCTAAATAAAACAGCAAAAAAGGTTATCTTCCATTTAATTCCACTTAATTAATTTTGGTATCCATGACAGATACGTATTTCGACTACAATGTGCAGTCTTCATCAGTGTCATTCCCACTAAAGAACTTATCAAAATCTAACCCCCTTAAGTACTCATCCCCTGGGTAAAAAAGTCAAGATCACCTGGCAACCGTAAAATTCCCGAAATAAACTGCAAATTTGCCAAAATAGTCTAGAATCGCCAAAGCAACGATGCCATATATACAGACTTCTGAACACGAAAAAACTGGTCATCCTTTTTTAATTGTATCCTAAAAATATCAAATAAAATGTTTCATGAAGCTAGAATAAATGCAATAACTAGTTAATATTTGTAACTATTTTTATATCTAATGAGATTAGAAAAATCTTTATAACAATTAAAGTTACAAGGGCTCAAGAAAGATAGTGTCCACCTTTATCGTGTACAAAAGTCTGTATATCTGGCATCGCCAAAGCTATATTAAAAACGCCTCAAAACGCCGTAAAACGGTAACATTGGTAGTTTTTCAAAGTATATTCTAAATATTTTTAAAACAAGTACTGAGGATCCAAGAGTTAATTCGTTAGTAATATGTTTAACGGAAATTAAAGCATTTACACATTTTTTTAGTTTTGTGACCGAACTTCAGTATTTTGATTTAAGGTTACTTTGATAATGCTCGATGAATGTAGAAAAAATGGATGAAACTTAAACAATTCAGTTCAAGAAATATGAAACATTGAATAAACCTCATAAGCAATAAGAATACAACATTGAATTTGTTATGGCTATATCAGAAATACATTTCAAAAGTAATGGTTTGAGTGTTTTTTTCAAACAGGTGAAAAACACGAAAATTGTGTTCTAATATGTTTGTATAATATGTTGCACATACTAGATAAAAACTATATACGATATCAACGGAAATACCCTAACCTACAATATGGAACCAAAGTTTCTAATTTGGAAAAAGCGCAGCGAGTAAATTTAATCTTTATATTATACTATCAAACTTACCCGCATTATCAAAGATACCCCGTTTTACGGTACCTCAAAACATTAAAAAAGCCTAGACAATTAAATAATTAACGCCTTAACTAAACGGCTTAACATGGCCTTACAAATCCAAAATAGCCCTTATGCATATGCAAATAGTCTATAAATTACAAAAAAATGTACTGCAAAAGTTTGGAAACACCAAATTTGTGTGTGTCGTAGTGATTAAATTCAACCGGTCTAATAAAGGTGCATCATTCCAGAATTATCATTCTGAAAAAATTTGCAATCAAAAAAAGTTCTTATATGACACGTCTCTGACCAATGTCATCAAGAAATCATGGAGCAGCAGCATGTCTTCGATTACATTCTATATAACATCCGATTTGAAATGTTGCTCCTCGATAAGATCGCATAGGACTATGCTGTTCTATGCTGCCAGCAAAAATTTGAAAATTTCGTGAATCCTGCTCGACAAGCTCGACTACCATGCACTTTTTCGTACGTCTATTCTATACACACCCACCGCCATGCACCAACCACAACGCGCCGACAAACGCGCGCAAGATTGATGCATAAACGAATAATACGCATAACACTTGACGCATAATGTTTGCTAATGCCCGAACGCCGATAACAGAACATTGCCATCTGGAGAGCACTACTAATCGGGATTGATCGCTATCCGGCAATACAAGCTATTTATTTACAATCGGTAGATCGGTGCTGAATCATCGTAAATGTTCACGCCGTAAGTCGGATGAATTTTCTCATCACCTTAGCACAGGTTCAGTCGATGGGAAACGCCAACAGAGACAAGTAGCAGTATTTAATAGCCGCGAATATTAAGTAGCTTTCGATACTTGCCACTGAGATCAGCTCGAGTACTGATTGCGCAGGGAAAATGAAGCTTTTCCAATCCAAAGGACCGACGCACAGTGATAGCTCTATCGGTAACAAAATTCGACAAAAAAGCGGATCGGTGATTCTAGATATCGGAGCATTTGTGTGCAATGTGACCAGGTGGATAATAATCGTTAAAGTGTGATTAAACGTGCTATAAGTACTTGCATTCATTGTTGCATTTGATGCTTCTTTGCAGAGAGCCGTTGCCGCGTCTGGAGTACTACCGTACGTCGAAACGTGGTCTGAAACGACCGTCCATCGGGGAACTGCATGGAGACAAAGACAGGAAACCGGTGAGTAGTGTTTCTCAGGAGAATATTTTTTTCAGTGTAGGTTATAAGGGAATTTCACTGTTTTCCTTTTTATATTGTGAACTGTTGGAAACAAGTTTACACGAATTGTTTTTGAGAAAACAGTATAGAAGGATGGTGATGGTAATAGCGGACGGACAAACATGATTGATAAAAAACACTGAGTTCTATTGAGATATCTATGTTTTCAGCCCACTCGGTAAAGAAATGTATTTTTGTTAGAATTTCAAGTACAAAATGCGAAACATGCTTACATTTTCGGTTGACTAGTTTAAAAAAAATAATTATAGCATTTATTTTTCTTTCTAGTGTACATCATATCCGAAACACAAAATTAAAATGATTGTAGGCTTTTTCACCTTATCGATAAAAATAAAATTCAATAGAAAAGGTATTATTGATCATTTTTCTTAGCCGTCAATGCTTAATCATGAATAATTACAAAAAAATATCCAATTAAATCTCTACCAATTTGGCTCTGTCTAAAAGGAATCAGTCGTTTAAACTTTCAGAAGTTAGCTAAAAAATATATTTTTTGATATCAAGTCTTATAAACAGCACAAACTGATTCAACGCCAAAACAAGCGTGGCATCAAAGTAGGCTTTGAATATTTGTAACTAGCTGCGGACTCTATCGTTCTACATGATTACTTACTACTCACTAAATCTCAAATTTGAAAACGCCGATATGGGGTGAAATTGATCAACCTTTCAAATAGCTCCCCAGTGCATTTATATTGGATGTGCTTAATTGATTAATTTGGGTTCTTTGAATCCGAAAAATACATAAGCATCCTTGTGCAAAGTGTATTTCATGCAAAAATGCCAAAAATTTCTTATAATACACAGTTGCGGCCAACTGTAGGCAATTTCTTTAAAAATCGCTAGAAATTTAAAGAAAATCCTTTAATTTCTTGGCATTGGAAGCTTTTTTTATAAAATTTTCAACACTTTGACTTCAGTGACACTAAGCTTAGTCAAAAATGCACTTGCAAATCAATGACAACAGTTGTATGCAGTCCTATAACCGTTTGTTTAAATAACGATATGGTAAGCTATTAAACGCCAGTAAAATCAAATTTAAATTTATGCAGCGAAATATACATTTTTTAGAGAAAATCTCATCAAAACAATCATTAGAGTTTCTTGATGAAATTTTATCAAGATTTCACTTTATATCTATTTCCGAAAATGTTCTAAGGGACAGCAGAACACGCAAGGCATTTTGATCAATTTTTCCCCGGTGATCAAATTGCCCCCGAATTACGGTACCTGTTCCGGTACCATTTTCGAATTTAGCCAATTTTACAAAAAACTAGCTCTTAGTCGTGAAATTGATCGAAGTAAACCCTTGTTGGTCATTTTCAAGGTATTTCAGATTTAGTTCCAGGTTTTGCTGGGAGTTGCCCCACTGTTAGAAAGTTTTTTCTCCTTGAATATTACGCCTTTACAGGAACTTTACATATACCCTCATGTTGTGCCTCTCAGAGCACTTCCACAGTTGTTAATTGAGGGCTTTCTTAAGCATAAATCATACACGTTTATAACTACACGGATGAAATTAACTTAATGACGTTCATATGGAGGCAACCGTAATGGATCGGACCTATAGGTAGGCAACGTATCTTAGGGTATCGCCGAGCACATCTAACGAAAAATCATACACCATTTGCAAATTTCATAAAAAATGTCGCATGGTTTTAAGACATGTCTTCAATTAATCATTTTGTGATAAGTGGAAGTGATAAAAATCCCCATATAGAAATTGAGAGAAGTGGGAATAATTCGCTTTCGGTGCATATTCAGGTCAAACATAGTGAACGACAACCTAAAGAAATTAATCGGGGACTTTGTCGTTCAGTTTTTTCCCGAAAATTATTGTTAAACAAGCTACAATTAAATAAAAATGATTTTTCTCTATACAGTTTACAGTTACTACCAGTCCACAGAGAGCCAAAAAAGTCAAATTTGAGAGAAAAAATTTGCTCTCACGACCTCAATCTCTCAACATGCCATGTATTTAGTTGACACTCGATTTGTGATTTCCCTTTCACAGATTACAAAATAGAGTACCTGTCACTACAAAACATGTATGGTACCTCTATATATGCATTTGCTTTAACATTTGAAGTCCCTCCCTTTTAACATATTCTGCGCAAAAGATACTTTATGCCCCGCCCCATGTATAAAATTGGGTGGGAAATTCTGTGAGGGGTGAGCTGTTTTGTGTGCAGAATGTGTAAAAAAGGAGGGACTTCGAATAATAATTTTAATGCATATATAGAGGTACCAGACATGTTTTGCACTGCAGTGTCCTCTGTGAACAATTATAGGAAAACATATTGTGTCTAGTTTCCGATAGATGTCACCGCAAACAACAGCTGTGACATCTGATGGAACATGAATGCAGACGCTTGACAAAATGATTAATTTGAAGACAAGTGATATTCTGTTAAGATATTTTAAATAAAATCATTTCATGTTTTGTGAAGATGTTTGAAGACATATTAAAATTCAAGGAGACTTCCGAAGGCTTTTTGAATTTTAAACAGACATGTGAGGATTTTTGCCGCAGAACTGTCTTTGTTTACTTCATATTTTAAATTGCTTCTTGAAAATGTTTATTATGAATAATGTTGCCAAAATAAGTTTTGATCGAATCTGAATATCCACAAATCTTTATTCAAATCAATGATTAGCTGGAGATCTTTTCAATACAATTTTCCTGGTCATTCTGCCATCTTGGGAGAATATCTAAGAGACGTCATTTGAACGTTTGAACAGTTCAAGATCTGCAGATATTCATCTTGATAAACCGGACGTCTTGAAAAATTACCCAGAGGACTTTAATGAAATTTATGATCAACTGGTTATGGTTCAAATAATTGACATTCATTTATGTTCAACCTGAAGTCTGTAAAACATATTGATAGGATTTCATTAAAATCTTCGATAAGCTGGAGATCTTCCCTGAACAACTCTGAAGGTAAAATAAAGTCCAAGAACTTAAGTGAAGTATTCTGAAATTAAACAAAGTTCCATTAACTTCATCGAAGTTCCCTAGTTTGTACAAAGTTCCCACTTCTACTGAAGTTCCATAAAAAAGTTCGATGAGCTTTTACAATGATAGCTGAACTCATCTAAAAATAGCTGCAATTCTTTAATTTCTACCGTTTACTGAAGATCGATGACGAAACTTGAAGTTCTACAACGTACCCTTAACTGTAACGAAGTCTTCTGAAATCAATTGCTGTTTTCTTAAATTCTACTAATTTTCCATAACTTCAACAAAATTCTTTTAATTTCCCTGAACTTCTCAGTTTCATAAATCTAAAATATTTATCGCCTTTCTACAAATTTTAAAAGAATTGGTGAAGGCATGTGCAGTGATTTCGTTGATCTTATTGACGATTTTTTTTTCTAATTAAACCTGATAGCCCTGCTTACGGAGCGTCGGATATGTATTTATTTATTTATTTGTCAACAATGATGTTTGTAGACCGTTTTTGTTACATATTAAACACCAGTTCACTTAAATACATCCAGCTTTAGGTACAATACGATGAGCATATAAATAGTTTTAAATAAATGGATCTCCTACTTATCGTTAGACGAGGAAATATTGTTTTCGTTTGGTTTTGGACATTGTAAAGTCAATAGTATAGCAATGTTTACTATACATACTTACCTTACCAATCAGGCTAAGGCCTCTGCTGTCCGAAGAAGTCGTTTCCACTCTACTCGATCCATGGCCGCACGTCGCCAGCCTCGTAGTCTGCGAAGGGTCAGCAGCTCGCCTTCCACTTGGTCGATCCATCTTGCCCGCAGCGCGCCTCTTCTTCTTGTTGCGGTTGGGTCGCTTTCGAGAACCAGTTTCACCGGATCGTCGTGCGGCATTCTTACGACGTGCCCAGCCCACCGTAGTCGCCCAATTTTTGCAATTTGGGCGATGGATGGATGGTTCTCCCAGCAGGTGGTGCAATTCGTGGTTCATTCGCCTCCTCCACGTTCCGTCATCCATCTGCACTCCACCGCAGTTGATACGCAACACACCTTACGTTTGAGAACACCAAGGACGCTGGTCCTCCACGAGCATAGTCCAGGTCTCGTGTCCATAGAGGGCCACCGTTCTAATCAGCGTCTCATAGATAATCAACTTCGTGCGGCGACTAATTTTATTCGACCGGAGCGTCGCCGAATACGTCACCGTCAATCTGAACTCGGGGTTGGAGGCTAACATTGTCTTCTCTAGAACCTCTTCTTCTCATGTATTTCGTCTTCGATGCGTTGATGGCAAGTCCAATCCGCCTAGCTTCAGCCTTCAGTCTGATGAACGTTTCCGCCATCGTCTCAAAGTTCCGTGCCATGATGTCGATGTCATCGGTGAAGTCAAGAAGCTGGATGGACTTTCTGAAGATCGTGCCACTCGTGTCTATCCCAGCGCTTCTGATCACACCTCCTAACGCGATGTTAAATAGCAGACCCGAAAGTTCATCACCTAGCCGTAACCCCCTTCGAGATTCAAAGAAACTCGAGAGTGTCTCCAATACTCGAACAACGCACATCACTCGATCCATCGTCGCCTTGACCAATCGCGTCAGTTTATCCGAAAATCCGTACTCGTGCATAGTCTGTCATAGCTGATCTCGATCAATTGTGTCGTATGCGGATTTGAAATTGATGAAGAAATTATGTGTGAAATTATGGCACGTTGTATTTGCGGTATTTCTGCAGAACCTGCCGAATCGCGAAAATTTGGTCCGTGGTAGCGCGGGCACCCATGAATCCCGCCTGGAAATGCCCCACAAACTCTCTTGCAAATGGTGACAAGCGGCGGCATAGAATTTGGTAGAGTACCTTGTAGGCGACGCTCAGCAGTGTGATCGCGCGGTAGTTGCAGCAATCCAACTTGTCGCCCTTTTTGTAGATTGGGCATACGACCTTCCATCCACTCCTCCGGTAATATCTCCTCCTCCCAAATCTTGGCAATTACCCAGTGCAGCGCTCTAGCCAGCACTTCACCACCGTATTTTAGCTCACTTGGTACCAGTTACTTTTTTGTTCTTTAACCGACCGGTGGTCGTCATAGTACCTACTGCTTCCACCTCTCAATCACCTCACACTCGTTCGTGAGAAGGTTACCGTCCAAGTCCTTGCACATAACGGCTTGCGGCACGTAGCCTTTGCGTGAACTATTTAGCTTTTCGTAGAATTCCCGTGTGTCGTTTACACGGTACAGATTTCCATCGGCTTGCGATCTCGGTCTTCCTGCTGACGCTTTTTCCTTTGAAAAACCGAGTTTTGTCTGTTCCGCACTTGTCTGCATCGCTCCACATTCAATCTCGTGTTGCACTTTTGAGAACCGGAGCTAGGTGTTCCGCTCCTTCCAGCTTGTCAACTCATTATTTTGTATCCCTGAACTTCTCAGTTTTGAAAATCTTAAATGTTTAACGACTTCCCACAAATTGTTTAAGCATTGGCGAAAAAATGTGCAGATATTTCGTTGCACTTGTTGAAGATTTTTTTCTAAATACACCTGCTTACGGGGCTGCGGATAGCCTAGTGAGTTTAGATACGGTATTACCAAGACAGAGGTGATGATCTTTAGGGTTGGAATTTAACTCGGTTAAGTGACAGTGCTTGCCACACATTGTACAAAATCCTGCATTGGTTTTCATGCCAACCTCTCACTTAATAACTATTTATAGTAACTGTGGAAATGCTTCTAACAATACTATGTTGGGTTCAGGCGTAACCTCATTAAAGAACGTCAAAACCAGAAAGAAGAGGACAGTTAGTAGAACTAGGGTAGTATACAATAGCGTTTGTTCTTCTAACTCTCGTTTTTGATTAACAAAAGCTTCCGCGGTAAATGCTATCACTTTAGTTAGTCTTACGACGAATTTCACCTCTTGCGCCGTAGAGCTAACGCTCCTGACTAATACCATAGAGGTAACTCTAAGACCACTGGGTCCCGAAGAAAATCATTATTATTTTTGGCTCACTCAGTACCAGAACAACGGTCCCAAGCAGTCCCAAGCTATTTCACTCACCCCTGCATGTTCTGCATGAATCCACACACCCCTGATGTTATCTGTCAAACTTTCATAGCGAATCAAAACAAACATAGTGTAGTAATAGAATTTCAACTAGAATAGGGTACGTTAATCGTTTGCTTGGGACCAATAGGCTACTAAAGTGGTGAGCCAATTCAAAATCGTTAGTTTCGTATTGATTGTTGATTGTACCGCGCAAGGTGATTAATATAGAACCTCATACCACGCTATGGTGGAGATGCAGAGCACACCGACATGTTCACCGCACTCGTACCACACCAGGTGGTTATAATCTGACATGCCGACCCTCATGGAAGCTGGTTGGTGTGTAGAACAAAACGCAAGAACCGAGCCCGCACTGCGCACAGATGCCAATCTGTGGGGGTTAAGGATTATGGTGTTCCTGGATGGGGTGTTTTCCTCCATGGTCGCCCGTGTACTTGTGGTTCAGATCCCGATTCCAATTGGCCACAATAACCCCAGAGTGGTCGAAAGTCAACCGATTAACTTCTGGCTAACTCCACCACCCTTGATGCACACGCACGTGATTTATTTCCCACTTGACCAGCAAGCTCGGAATTCATGATGGTAGATGCCAGGCACTTGTCTACGGTCCAAACAAATTTCCAACAAATTGTATCGACGGATGTCTACGTGGGTTGAGGGAGGTGTGAGGGTGTGTCTACCTCTCAAAATTGGTCTACGTAGTTTATGAACAACCCGCAACCATTATTTTAAGCAGTTCACATTTTGGCAACTCAAACGATAATTCTACAGCAAATGCTAAACAAAATTAAATGCATAATAATTTCATCATTTGTTTGGAAGCTGACGAGTGCATATCGGTGGTTTCCCCTGAATATTATTCATTGGTTATTCACTCTTTCTGCATCCATTCTACATACCTACTATAATAGCCCATCGCCGCTTTGTACACTTAAAACAAGATTATCAGCAAAGGAAACAACCATGTCAGGAAGCCACCACAATCGTTCTACTTGTGTGTGGCATAATCCAACCCACTCAAGCAACATTACGGAACACTACGTATCCATACTTACGGCAAGTGCTTCAAGCGATTACGTCAGTGCGTAACGGCCCCTTCCCACTGTAGTCTACCACTACAACCCACTTGACATCCAATCAATCTGGAGTACTTTCAAGCCTTAACCACACGTCAACGGCCTTCACTAGATTACCATCCTCTAATTCCAGGAAGCCAGCCAAGTTGATGATAAACCAGAAGCACACGGCCATGGCATAAAGCTGGGATGGATCGAAGGTGTGCTGATTCCCTGTTTGCTCAACATCTGGGGTGTGATGTTGTTCTTGCGTCTCAGCTGGGTTGTCTCGCAGGCCGGGATCATCCAAACCCTCATCATCATCGGCATCTCCTATCTAGTTTGTGTGATTACCGCTTTGTCGCTGTCTGCGATTTGCACCAACGGCCAAGTGAAAGGCGGTGGAATATACTACCTGATATCGCGGTCCCTCGGACCGGAATTCGGTGCCTCCGTCGGAATTGTATTCGCCTTTGCGAACTCGGTTCAAGCGTCACTCAACACGATCGGTTTCTGCAGCTCCTTGAACGATCTGCTAAGTATGGGCTAGGCGATTAGATGTTCACATTAGATCCACCTAACCATTTGTTTTTTTTTTTAATTCTTTCAGAATCGTTCGGGACAAAGATCGTTGACGGTGGAGTTAATGATGTGCGGATAGTTGGTACCATAGCGATTATCGTCATGGTGATTGTTTGCGCCGTCGGCATGGAATGGGAAGCAAAGGCCCAAAACTTTCTGATAGTGACCATCTTAATTGCCATCTTAAACTTCCTAATCGGTGTGATAGTTGGACCGACTAATGATGACCAAATTGCTCATGGTTTTACAGGATTCTCCACCGAAGTATTTCGTGAAAATCTGCAACCGGATTACCGGTTCAGTGAAAACACGCAACAGACATTTTTCTCCGTTTTCGCAATATTCTTCCCCAGTGTCACCGGTGTACAAGCTGGAGCGAATATCTGTGGGGATCTAAAAGATCCTGCCACAGCAATTCCTAAGGGAACGCTTTTGGCATTGGTGATTTCTGCCGTTTCGTATGTAACCTTCGTTTTGTTTGCTGGAGGTGCAGCCATGCGTGATGCATCGGGAAACATTACGGATCTAGTCAACGGAACCTTTGTATCCTGCACCAACGGAAGTGTAATTATGGTCATGTTTCTATTTCTATTTCTATTTTCTAAATAAGTATCCTTCCAGCAGTGTGCTTACGGTATACATAACGACTACACATCGATGCAACTGATGTCCCTGTCCAGTGCCATCATCTACGCTGGTTGCTTTGCAGCAACGCTGAGTACAGCGCTAACGAACCTTCTATCCGTGCCAAAAATTATCCAAGCTCTAGGCATAGACCGTATCTACCCAGGATTGATCTTTTTCTCCAAAGGTTACGGGAAAAATGCAGAGCCTTACCGTGGCTACGTGCTCGTCTTTATAGTATCCGTACTGTTTGTCCTCATCGCGGATATCAATGCCATCGCTCCGCTTATATCAAACTTCTACCTGGCATCGTACGCCCTCATCAACTTCTGTACATTCCATGCAGCAACCGTGAAAGCTCTAGGATGGCGGCCAACCTTCAGATTCTACCACCCTTGGATAAGTCTCATTGGCTCCATACTCTGCATAGTTATCATGTTCCAGCTAGATTACACCTTCACTATTGTCACGGTGGTCATCATCTTCGTCCTATATCTGGTAGTCGTTTACCGAAATCCGGATGTAAACTGGGGCTCCAGCACCCAGCAGCAAACGTACAAAAGTGCACTCTCCTCTACCCAGAAGCTGCAGAACATTGGAGATCACGTCAAAAATTACCACCCTTCAGTTCTTGTTCTAGCAGGAAACCCCATGAACCGACCACCTCTTATAGATTTGGCTAACTTAATTACCAAAAATCACTCGCTTATGATAGTAGGAGACATTATCAACGAACGGCTGTCCCACCGGAGGCGTCAAGCGTTGCATTCGGAATGCAGACAATTCCTGGAAATTCGCAAGATTCGTGGTTTTTACCAACCGATCGATAGCCTATCGTTCGAGGAAGGAGTTCACGCGCTCATCCAAACGTCCGGAGTTGGGAAGCTCTCACCAAACATAGTCCTAATGGGATACAAGGCCGACTGGATGACCTGTCCCGTTAAAGACCTTCTAACCTATTACAATGTGTTGCAGTAAGTCTGATACGGCCTGTGTGGAGTAAAGCTAAGAGGAACTCTTCTTAATTCCATGTTTTATTCCTACAGCGATTCCTTTGACTGTCGAATGTCATTGGCGATTTTGCGACTGCCCAATGGGTTGGACTTTTCCCATTTAACGACGGAAATCGTCACCAGATCGGTTCCGGAGCCATCCCCTAAAGAGATCAACAATGCGATCTCCATGATCTCCTCTGATGGAATACAAACGCCACGAAAGCTGATGCATGTCGATTCTAACCTCAACTTGGATACGATTGTGGGAGGTAGCCAACCAACGTTCCCCACTTCTCAGGCCGGTAAGTTAGTTGGAATAGGTCATTCCATTATATGGGGGTTCCTACGAGTAGATCCCAGTAGAGAAATGATCTTGACTTCCTTGGGCATGAAGTAACGTAATTCTTGCCACACAATATACAAATGCATGCACTGTTTGGCATGGAAAGCTGTCAACCAAAAACTTCTAAAGTGCTGCAAAGAACACTAAGTTGAGAATTTCAAACAAACAAAGAACAGTTTGAGGGTAAGTGCGGGACTTCAATAATGAGTTCAAAGCACTTCACGGCAGGGTTTATGAATTCTTTTTGAAGGTCACCAGGACTTGTGGATGCACGGATTTTAAGATCGGATATTGTAGGTACATTGCGCAGACCTGATTAACATGGTAAGGACTTCCAAGGCCGGTAAATCAAACTCCGTATAGGTCCATTACATTAAACTCATATGATTCCTGGCAGCTCAGAAATTATTCCAACGATCTTCAAGTATCCTAAGATATCCATGAAGTCCAATAGATATTTTTTCAAGACTTCAGGTTGATCAGGTATTATTATAAAGATCTTCAACTATCCAACAATTCAAATCACGTTTATTAGAAGTTCTCTTATGATACCAGGTTGTTCAGAAATTATTCCGAAGACCGTCAGGTGATTAGAGATCCCCATGATAACCTCAGGTTACTTTTTCAAGACGTCAGGTTGATCAGGTACCATTCTGAAAATATCCAATTATCCAACAATCTAAATCACTTCTCTCAGATATTCTCTCATAGGATACCAGGCAGCTGAGAAATTATTCCAACGACCTTCATGCATTTTAAGATTTCCATAAAGTCCTCTGGATACGTTTGCAAGACTTCTGTTTACCATTTTATCAAACTATGCAACAATTCAAATCACATCTCCTAGGTATTCTCTCATGATATAAGGTGACTCAGAATATATTTCAAAAACCTTCAGGTGTTCAAAGCTTCGGGTTGATCAAGTACTTTTCTGAAGATCTTCAAATGTCTACCAATTTACATCACGTCTCTCAAATATTCACCTACGATACCAGGATGCTCAGAAATTCATTCAAAGACCCTCAGGAAACCAGACGACTCCACATTTTTCCAAAGAGCTTCAGGTGATCAGGAATCTCCAAAAACTTCTCCAGATCTTCTACTATCCAATAATTCAAATCACGTCTCTCAGACATTCTCTTATGATACCAGGTTGCTCAGAAATTATTCCAAAAGCTATCAGGTGATCAGAGATCTTCAGTAAATCCTCAGGATAGTTTTTCAAGTCTTCACGTTAAATAGGTATCATTCTGAAGGTATCCAACAATTCAAATTGCATCTCTCAGATATTCTCTTATGATGCCACGTAACTCAGAAATTATTCCATAGATCTTCAGATGATCAGATATCTCCAAAAACTTCTTTGTACATCGGATATCGCGGTAACAGCTGATGGATGCCATTGGTCACCAATGGTCTGATACTTGTCTATTCACGTCAGGAAAGCCTCCAAGAAATCACCTGGGAACGTACACTACTTCAATTACGTGAAGTTGATGATCTTAAAATCTACTTGCGGATCCGTTTGATTGAGGAATCACTTCCTTCAACGTCAGTCTTTACTATCAGGAGTAGCCGTCAACAATGCTGATGATGGTACAGCACGCAACAACCACCATACTGCTTTCTCTCTGAGATGACCACGTTGGTCATGACGAGAGGAGCTTTAGGTAGTGATGAAACGTCGCTAGAACTATTCCACAGCCGCAGACAGTAATGAGCAAAGGCGGGCGCACACTTTTTGCCTGTAGATTTGAAGACATACTTCAAATCTCCGCATACATCGTACGTAGCGATAATGCAGCTGCGGTTGATTTTGCAAGCTGTGATATCGCAGCCCGGAATATCAAGCTAACAAAACTCACCAGCTGCAAATCTCAGCAAACTGTGATGAGATTAAGTTTCATGATTTTTGCTTTACACCCTAACGCAACCGAAACTTCCATAACGGGTGACAGCAGTCACTTCGTGTCTACCATCGGTGTGGACTAAAAAGAGATAGCAAACTAGACTTGCTCTTTCTAAGAAAACGATGTGCAACGGAATCATTTTTGTGTCGAGTCAACTCCCAGCTTGATCTTTGCACGTTGTGAATAGTCTCGCAATATCAAAGGAGCTTGTAAAATCAGTATCAAGCAGGATATTTTGCTAAAATATCACGCGTGATATTGAGAGCGTATGAGAGCGGAAAATATCATTTGATTGATGATTTTGCCAACACTGCACAGTGGTCCAGAATGCAGATTTAGGTGGAATGATATGTTTTGAGCCTGAAATTGAAACTTTAGACTAAAAGTCTCTTCTACAAAGTTGTTCCTTATAGTTAGGCCCTCATTTTTATGACAATGAATTCTAGGGTGGTTCTTATTATCATTAAAATCAAAAATCTAACTTTTTTGTTTGAATAAATTAAGGTATACATTCTTCGACAAAGTTATAGCTGAGCTAATTTAAAGCAACTTTGTTAACATCAACTTTTTTGTATCTCTTAAATTGGTTGATTTAGAGCTATTTTCTTGAATTGAGTTAGGGTGGCGCTAAAAAAAACAGTTATTTTGCTCTAGTTTTCTTATTTCAAATATTTCAGCAAAGATGTCTACACATGACTTTTAGATCTTTAGAAGGCGCAAATTTTTGCTGCAGAAAGCTTGTCAATATCTTTCGCCTATCAAGAGTTAATGACGTTTTTATACTAAAAATATGCACTTTTTAAATGTTAATATCTCTGGTTGGGGCAAACAACAAAAAAAGTTTTTTTTTTACTGCATTTGAAAGGACGTATGTTATTCTCAATAATACGAAAAAATTGGAGGTATGTTATTTTTTAAACTCGTATAAAATCAAATTGAAATTATTCATATTTTTTACTAAATTTGGGTATATCTTTTTTATTAGAAGAGATACAGGCAACAAATTTCGCTATAAAACATTCGCCTTAAAGAGTTTTAAAAGTCTCTAGAAGATGACTTTCATGAGAAATTCGTTCTTTGGTCTGAAGTCTAAACCACAACGCCAGTTTCTTCGGAGGAGTGAGGAGATACCCGTTTTATCTATCCAGTTATGAAAGTCGATGCCAGCTAATCGATCTGGAGCCCCTTCTACTTCGGAGCGATAATTCGAAGGCTCTGTTCGTCGCGGATAGCTTGCATAGCAGAATAGACTGCTCTGCTATTTTGGAGCAGGCGGAAGCAAACGTGTAAACGTAAAACTATTTGGGGATCAAGGATAAATTTCAAAATTTCGGGAAATCACTGGAACATGATAAAATTCGTTTACTTCGAATAGTTAGAACCAGGTTACAACCATGCGTTTAACTAAAATTGCACAAACTTAATGCAGACTCAGCCAATTCAATCTATATAATCTAATCTAATCTAACACCAACAGAGCCAGTTCATGAAAGCATCCTGGAAAATGATAAATAAACCTCCATCATTGTTCTTGTTTATTTGGTATATGTTGCACATCAGAGATGCGCAAAATATATCAAAACGGCCAGGCCTATTGTGCAGCATTTAAGGAGCAAGACGATTCAGAAACGTCGGGCCTGCTTAAATCAACGATTTAAACACAATGCTACAGAATCCAATAAATGGATGAAACGTGGACATCTCGTACGTTCCCCGTTGTATTGTTATTTATAAATGATTGGTTGTTGGGAGCATCTAGTCTAAAAATGTTAAGGGATGCTCCATATTCCTTTAGTGGTCGGGACATGAGCACTATTCTTGTCCTAGCCCTGTATGGTTTATGGTTATAAATGAAAAAAATGAAGGAAAAGCAAAAAAGGGAAAATAAGCTAGTGTTGTGGGCATTAAGAGGAAGATCACCAAACCGAAAGCAAAATTTCTTTTTCTGCCTGTTTTTATTTTTTTCAAAAATACCGGGAAAAAAGATCAAAAATCCAAGAATATCAGTTCCCTCCTTAGATTTCTGAGAAACATGTTTTCCGTCTCATCATTAAGAAATTAGACACTCAGCTAAACCGAAAGGTCGCTGTTTTGTTGTTTTTTTTTTTTTGAGTTCAACTTTATACCATGATGACCTATACAAAATGTTCTAGCACACGAATCCTTCCTAAAAATCAGAAAAAAAATGTGATGTCTTTAGACTTCTGATATCCCTCTCCAACACTTTTATAAAAATCAAAACGTATTTTTTTCGGAGCCGTGAACTTCCCCTTATCTGGATATCTGTGTGTGTTAGAGTTTGTGTCTTCACGCAAGCTGACCAGATTTCAACACTGGATATAAGGAAAAAAAATTAAGTCTGCATTATCGATCGATTTCCATTAACACTAACAATGACATATGGTCCAAATCGCAGAGTCTTCGTTTTGTAAGCAGCAACGCCTCTACCGATAGATATACCGTAGCTGATGCTGGTTTCCGGATCTTCAGCATTCAGCTGCTCCGAAAAATCAGAGGTAACCAAAATCGTAAAAGCACCACTACAGTTCGCAACCCGTAAATTTTACTCTTAAACCGCGCACTAGAAAATACAAATCTCACGGCGGAACCTAAAATACCGAAAACTCGAATCACAGCTCACACGACCGGAATTCCGTTAAAAAAAACGATGGATTTTCGCGTCCGTTTAGAAGCAGGACACACACTTCGATGTTCATGCAGACTCAGCCAATCAAGAACAAAACTACATCGATTAAAAAAGCGTAAAGTATTTCCAAAATAATTTTAAAGAGCTCCAGGTTCTCTTACATTCTTCTAACCTTATACATTTTCGAAAGATCATTTTGAAGTTCGCTTCAACCGTCTCTAAAGCTTACGCAAATTATGTTCTTTTCCCCTGCCCAACAGTCACACCGCACTCTGACCTAGCGGATGATATCATCTACTCGACGCGCGGCGGATCGTGTGTTCCGAAGGAAATTCTGGAACGAATCGGCGTATTCCATCGCAAGCAGCCCAAGGGTACGATTGACGTTTGGTGGCTGTACGACGACGGAGGCCTTACCATGCTCATTCCGTACATCATCTCGATGCGGTCCAAGTGGGCCCGTTGCAAGATCCGCGTTTTCGCGCTCACCAATCGTCAATTGGAACTAGAGGTCGAAGAAAGGAAGTAAGTATTCCGCCATCCTAAGTATATTCGCGTGACGAACTAAACCATTTTGATCATTTCAACCAAAACCAACAACAGTATGGCCAACCTCCTCATGAAACTCCGAATCGATTACTCCTCGTTGACGATGCTTCAGGGTGTGACGGATCCTCCCAAGCAGGAAACCATTGATATGCACAGCAAACTACTGCAGCACTTTACCGACAACGATGGCACCCAGATTCCGATCACCGAACACGAGCGGATGGCACTGCAGGACAAAACCAGACGACAACTGCGATTACGTGAAATGTTGCTGGAACACTCAAACGAGGCTAATTTGATTGTGATGTCGATGCCTATGCCAAGATTGGTAAGAGCGAAAAATGAAAAGAAAAGAAAACGGTTCAATTTGTATAATTGTTCTTCCTCTTTTTCAGGGTACCGTATCTGCCCCGCTGTACATGTCCTGGTTGGAAATGCTAACGAAGGACATGCCTCCATTCTTGCTGGTTCGAGGAAACCAAACATCGGTTCTAACATTCTACTCGTAGAGTTCGCACTAACGAGCAGATCGCCAATCAGTATTATGTAATAGTGTTGTTAAGTTTCACTACTAAGTTATTAATTCGCAAAGATTTCAATAAGATAAGACAGAGTCATGATCCATATGTACAATAACTTTCATTTAATTTATTCCGAAGCCCTGCCAGTTGTTCTAATTATGTTCTAAAAACAGTTAAGCTTAGAGCTACTACAACAAGTTCAACGAGTTAATTTTCCTAGTCAGGAATAGTGAAACATAAGAGAAGTCCATAAGTTCATATAAATCAATAAACATCTGTTCAGCAAACAGCCAAGATTTAAAAAATATATCTATTCACAATGTTTCAAAAAATTGTCCCCAAGAATGTATGCTCAATTTTGCGATATACTGTAGGATACCTTAGATGAAAACAACTGTTCATAGGATAGCTACCGTAAGCCGCCATAATTCTGCGCACTACCTAATTCCACGCATTTGGAAGAAAACGGAGGATTTGTGTAAATCAAGTGCTAAATTGTGTCTTAATTCGTTACGAGCTCCATTGTTTATGGTTTCAAAATGAGTGCTGCATAAATGTAAACAATGATAAACATTTCGGTTTTTATAGAGAAAAATTATTGCAAATGCACATCTCTACAGACAGACGGCATTTTGCTTCTGTGTCCTAGTGATTATGCTAAAAATGCGCGCAGCAAACAAAACAGTGTTTTCGTTTCAAAAGCGTCCCAAGCAAAACTATTAACGTACCCCATTTTAGTATAAATTCTAGTACTACACTATGTTTGTTTTGATTAAGTATGAAAGTTTGACAGATAAAATGAGGGGTTCGTGGATTTTCCTATGTTTCGAGGGGTGCATCGATTAGCTTGGGACCGAAGAGATAGTACTAGAGTTGAGCCAAAAAGTTGAGCTCGTTTCTCCGGGACCTTCTGGTCTTAGAGTTATCTCTACGGTATTAGCAACAATCAATACGAAACTAACGATTTGAAATTTATTTATTTATTTATTAGTCGTCAATCAGTGTAGACCGGCTTTATTTATTTATTTATTAGTCGTCAATCAGTGTAGACCGGCTGTAGAATTGGCTCACTACTTGACTAGCCTATTGGTCCCAAGCAAACGATTAACGTATCCCATTCTAGTCGGAATTCTAGTGCTACATTATGTTTGTTTTGATTCTCTATGAAAGTTTGACAGATAAAATGAGGGGTTCGTTGATTTTCCCATGTTTCGAGGGGTGCATCGATTAGCTTGGGGCCGAAGATAGTAACAGAGCTGAGCCACAAAGTTGAGCACGTTTCTTCGGGACCTACTAGTCTTAGAGTTACCTCTATGGTATTAGCATGTATTAGTGAAAGCGTTAAGCTTTTCTCAACTCGCGAGTTTGAATGCTGTGAAAATTACAATAACAAACTTTACACTGTTTCAATTCAATGCACGTGAAATTGTTTAACGTGAATTTAGCAATTCATTGAAGATCCCCTCAGTGTTGTTTGACGTTTAACAAGCCAGCCCAGTTAGCGAGTGGAATTCGCTAACTGGGCTGCGCTTTTAGCCCAGTTAGCGAACAAGTACTGTAAAAGTATAGGTACAAATATTTAACAATTAAAAATATCAAATCATAAAACCAAAATTGTTACTCTGGCTACCTACCTATTTTCTTTCAGTGGTGTCTTCTCACAGTAGCGCTATAGAAGTATTAAATCAAAATATTGCTTGGTGATATATGATAGCCAACAAGGATTTCAATAGCACAGAAACATTAAACAAATCGACAACCTTGTTACTTTCCGGTGTATTATATCCTATGAGAAGCTTAGAGCCCATTTCAAGTCTCTACATTTACAACATTATTTTACTGGTCTGATCTCAAGCCATTTCCTCTTAGAACTTAAATGAACTTCAATCATTAGTTACAAGCAAAACGAGAAAAAAAAATAGTTAAAATGAAGATTTGCCCTTCAGGGGCTTTCAACTTTAGGTTTTCGTCTGGGCGATGCAATCCTGGCGCTATCCGCCGATCTCGACTTCCGTTTGCGATCAGATCGCTCAGAATGTGACTTGTCTCGTCGACGGAGGCTTCGCTCGCTGCTGTCATGATTCCGAACGTCCTTGTCTGGTTCGTTCGGCGATTTCGAACGAGAATAGTTCCGGCGATGCTTATCCCTGGAGGATTTCTCCTTCGGGGGAGACTTCGATCTGGATGGTTTTCTCTCCTCCCTGGATTTGGGCGATTCTTTTCGTCCTTTGCGGCTTTTTCCCGGAGAACAGGAGCGCGACTTGGTCTTGAACGGGGAAGGACTTTTTGTGTACAGTTGAGGCGGAGACTTGGACCGGGACCGCGATTTTGTACGAGAATGTCGCCTCGATCGTTTGTGGTTGTTGCTCGCTTCTGTGGCAGCTTCGAAGGCATTACTACCGCGAATTGTGTCCTCCGCTTCCTTCTGAAGACGTTCTTCTTCTTCTTGTTGCTTTCGCAGATGTACACGAACCTCTTCTTCGATTTCTTTTGCACTTCTCACCAGCTTGTCCGTTTGCAGTACGATTCGATGCTTCCGGAAAGATTCGGGAACTGTCTCGTCTTCCGGTTCCTTCGAATAAGATCGACGGTGATGCGATCGGCGCCGGTGCTTCGAACGATGACGGTAATGTGATCTCGATCTCGATCTTGATCTTGATTTTGATTTTGATTTGGATTTTGACTTTGACTTTGATTTGGATCGTGAATCTCTCATAGTGGAAGCAAGGTGTTTAGCCGTGGGTTTGGACATCTGTACCGGTTGTTTAGACCTCGAATCAGATCGGCGAGTTCTTGATCTCGAGCGATTCGATTTAGAACGGGATCGTCGCCTCGAAGACGATCTGGATCTAGATCGAGATCGAGATGATCGAGTTCTGCTTCTGGAACGACGGGATCGGCTATGGCTTCGTGATCGACCGCGGCTTCGACTTCTGGAACGGGACCTACGACGACGCGTTCTCGATCGTGATCTCGACCTTGACCTGGGTCTTGAATAAGATCTGGATCTATCACGTTCACGATCATGATAATCGTAATCACCATAACCATCATCTCGATAGTAACCGTACCCTCCTCGGCCACGGTAACCACCACGTCCTCGTGCTCTTGGAAATCTTCCTCCCCGAGGAGTACCGCGAAATCCACGGTATGCCATTGCACTGGCATAGTACTCTGCCCTCTGTGCGTAGTAAGGATCATATGGATATGCGTAACCCATAGCAGCCCAATCGAATCCCGGGTACATTCCGGGGTAAGCCCCCGGAGGCATAGCTGACGGAACCGGAGGATACGGCACAGCAGCACCGATTGTTGCTGCTGCTGTTTCTTGCGGCTGCCTTTGTTCATCATCTGAAGATCCCGACCCAGTAGAGCTGCCGTCCGAGACAGGCTTCTTCTTTTTCTTCTTCTTGGCTCTCGCATCCGTAGGATAATCATTGAGTATGCTATCGTCCGAACTGATGGTGTTAATGCTCGGTGAGCGGGATCGGTTCGAAGAGCTGCGACCGGATGTCCCAAGAAAATTTTTTAGCAGATTGCCATCCTTCACTTCCTTCACTCGTTGGCGCATTTTATCGATTTCCTTTTGCTGGGCGGCCATCAATTTGTCCGCTTTTTTGTTGGTGGAATTGGAGGATTTGTTGGAAGATGCGACCGTGGAAAGTTTACCCGCGAGCATTGTTTGTTTGAGCTGTAAAAAGGGAAGTCAATTGAAACGTTTTTTTTTTTTTCCTAACACAAGGAAATAAAATATTGATATCATCGATTAAATGTTCCTTATAGTGCGGTAACAAATTTAAACCTGGGGGGACGTGCTGTCGAATCAGCCTGCTGATCAAAATACTGCTGAAAATACCTGGGAATGTCTTTACAATTTGTGTACTTTTTATACTCACAGCTTAGTGGAGATAATGTCGATCTCTTTCGAAGAGTGTACCACGTTTGATTGCTTGCCCATGATCTGTATATCACAGACAAACAGACGTAACTCTTTGAAAAAGTTTTTCTTTGAAAACATAGTATCTCCAAACTTAGGACCTCAGTAACGACATCTCTCGGGCTTCTCGCGGAAAACAAGCTTGCTCGCTAACTCGCAAACAATATTGCATAAAAGTTCTATAGACTGTATAGAGACGTCAAAGTGATCCGATGCCAGCGCTGCGACGAATAGTTCGCGGAACTGATAATATTCAAATCAACCATTAAATGCGTGAACGAAGATACACAATAAGAGTTACGTCTGTTTGTCTGTGTGTATATTGTTGGTATTTGAATAATTGAACAATATTGCTGATCCACAGAAAATTTCTCATTTGTCGGATTAAAGATGAAGGAGAAGAGTCAGTACACTCACAAAATTCTTCAAATCAATGCTACGTTAAAAATCACGTAACCTTTGAAACATTCAACTTCAATAATTGCTACGTAATCCACGTAGAATTTACGTGATGTCACTTGAATGTTAAACGAAATTCAGATCAAAGTTACGTGATGATCATGCCCAATGATGTTAACTTAATTTCACGAAAATGACAAGGGATCTGCAAGTATGAAAAATCAGTGCGATTCAATAGGTTACTTTAAGGGTATTGAGGTAAAGGCATATTCGAAATCTGCATTAAAAATAGAACGCAAATTTAAAGTTTCATCAATGTTAGTACACTGAAATTATTTTAAATAAGTGCGATTACATTGTCAATTTGCTAGTTTTGTGTCAAACCGTGAAGTTATTATTTTGTTTGAAATCTTGAACAGCGGAAAAATTAATATTTAGGGAAACCCGAACTGATAGCATTTAATCTAATATTCTAAAAAAAAATAAAAAAAAATACACTTTTTTAAGAGATTTCAACAGAAGTAATTGTGTCTTCTCTTCGAGCAGATCTTGCAGATCACCTTCAACATCAACAGAACTGCTTCAAGCTGTTTCGTTTCCTTTCATTGTCAAATGAACTTACTTTCGTATTGAAGCGATGCTCTTCGATCTAAATTCGCGCAGTTTTTCTGACTTTTGTTGATTGTTTACACTGAGCGAATTTACCATGTCGTCATTGCATGATTAATCATTCAGAGCTATTCGATTTCTTTAACATCGAAAATAATATGAGATACCCGATTGACTGATAATTGACATTAAATGGGATGATTCATCATACATATCATAAAAGGAAATAACATCAACCACTTAATGAAGTACCGTTCAAATTTTGAAAGGTATTAACAATAAATGAATTCAAGAACAGAAATGCACTAAAATCATCCAAGTGAACCCCATAACGAAAATCATACAACAACTGTCATACGATTCATTTTCATATCGTTTCAGTCTCCCATTGCGTTTTGGCCTTACCATTTTTTCGCAGTTTGTTGCGTCTCTCTCGAATAGCAATACACAGTTTTTTCGCATACCACGGGGAGTGTCACCAAAAAGCGAACGAGAAAAAAGTTTTCGGATTCATGTGGCAAAAAAATATCTACTCGTTCCGTTCCCGTTTGATTCGAATGCTTCAGTGCCCGTGGATTGTTCGCGATCCAGCCCCCCCTCGAGGAGGTGGTCAGCGACTTTGAGGAAAGCAAGTACCAAAACGCCGAACTGCCTCTTTCGTACTACGGCAAGTCGCCGAACGAGTGGAGTTTTACAAACTGGCCAAGTGGCCATCGACAGAAACAACATCCGCTGGTTGATTCAAATTCCTAGACTTCAGTAAGTTACTGGGAGGGAGGTCCTTTGTTTCAAGCAATACGATTCTAACAAAACAAGTTTATCTTCCAGTGATATCTTCAAGACCAACCAGCTGATGAGCTCGTTTAGCAGATTTTGGACAACATTTTCAAACTGCTTTTTGAGGCCACAAACAACCCGAGCCAACATCCTAAATTGCACAAGTTCCTACAGAACGTGATTGGGTTCGATTCCGTGGATGACGAGTCCGAACCGGCGAATCCACTGTTCGATGGGGACGCCAGGGGCGAGGCCGGCCCAGTGCAGCATTTAGTGTGGTTGTTTTATCATAAATGAATAAAACAATTGTTCAGCTTATAAAACAGAAGTGTTTCATTTACAACATTAATTAACAGTTCCAACAATTTAGAAGAGATATATTTCGTTATGATCACAATTTTTAAACAGTAAAATAAGCTTTCTGCTTCCATATATTTTTCATTCAGATTGCACTTATATTTCATTTAAACGTTGCATGACAATTTATTTTGAAACTGTATGACGAGTCCGTATCTATCTCAATGTTAATCATACGGTTTGTTCATTTCAAGTCTTCCTAAGAATGGATGATAATCATGCTAATGGTTTACAGCGTGCAGAACGAAAATCATCCTGTTTTAGAATTAATGTTATTCAGTTCTTCTGTGCTTTGAGAGCTGAATCAGAGAATGATAATCTTTCACAAATAGAAAAATAATCCGTATGGGGCTCAAGTGAAGCAATAATCATACATTAATGTATGGACAATTTGGTTCAGTGTACTCGGTTCATTTAAGCGCATGTGCATGTGCAAAAGTATGCAGATTCCCGCTTCACCTTATTGAGTCCGAGTCATGATTACTTCGGCAGTAGTCATGCATGATTAAAATCGAAATAATCTTTCCAGTATTAAATTTTATTCTTTTTCAATACTGATATATAATCAAAAAGAATTAAAATTCAATCAAAAATGATTAAAATAGAATCAGAAATTATTAAAATTTATTCAAAAAAATATAATCTACTATCTAATCAACCATGATTAAACCACCGACAAACTGACTTGAATGATAATACAAGTTACAAAGAAATTTCTTATCAAAGCACAAAACCGACATCTGCCGCCGTGTTCGCGGAAAATATTTATCCTAGGCACGCGTACAAAACACGCGTAGAAAATTTATGAGTTTGTTCGTGTCTAATCTATTTCGGACATATTATTTTTATCTAGATAAAACATTTCTATCCAGCTTTCCATGCTCGATAATGGCGGCCTGTTTGTATGAATAAATGTATCCTTCACTGTGCTTTTTGACACTAACTGGAGGGCGTATGTTGTTCCATTTTCTTCTGTTCCTGGGAGAGGGAAAGGGAAGGGGTTGAAATTCGAACATCCAGATAGTGTCAAAAAGCACAGTGAAGGATACATTTATTCATACAAACAGGCCGCCATTACCGAGCATGGAAAGCTGGATGGTTTTGACAGATGGGATCGCTGCACATTTGAATCGGCCGTTATGGATTGTCGCTCAAGAGTTAAGTTTAAGTTTCATGTCGGTTTGTCGGTGATTAAACTGGGATTAATATCAGATGCTTATTTTTTTAGAAAGAGAGGATTAGTTTTTAATCTTTCGATATGATTAAACTGAGTTTAATGTCAAATTGATTAAATTTCAAGCAAAATGGGAATAGTTCAATTTATCAGTGTAGATCAGTGTAGATTCTGTGCACGTGGATGTTAAATTTATCATTGTCGGATTGTTTGTTTTCCTTACCAATATGGGATTTTTTCGAATCGTTGTAACGCCTAGAGACCAACGCCATTTCGAAATCCAAGATGGCAACTGATTTCATAAAAAGTGGGAAATACTGATGCTCACCCATCAATATGGGTCTTTTTGGAATCGGGTTGACGTCTAGAGAATAAAAATTGATATTCGACGCCATTTTGAAATGCAAAAAGGTGGCATCCAATTTCAGAAAAAAAAAGTGGCAAATACTGTCAAATACCCATCAATATGGGTATTTTTGGAATCGGGATAACGTCTAGAGAATGAAAATCGATGTCCAACACCATTTTGAAATCCACGATGGGGGCTTCCGGTTTAAGAAAAAGTGGGAAATTTTATCGAATACATACGGTTCTTTTAGAATCAGGGTAACGTCTAGAAGCCGGAAATCGATATCCGACGCCATTTTTAAATCCAAGAAGGCGGCTTTCGATTTGATCAAAAGTGTCAACGGGGATGTCATACGCAATCTTGAAATCCAAAATGGCGACTTCTGGTTTCGGAAAAAGTGGAAAATACTGTCAAATACCCATAAATATGGGTATTTTCGAAATCCCAGTATCGTCTAGAGCCTAGAAACCGATGTGTGACGCCATTTTAAAATCTAAGATGGCGGCTATGGTTTAGAAATACTGTCAAATATCGATCAATGCGAGGGGGGCGTCCCATCTAAATCTCACTTCTAGATGATCGAAAAATCTGACACTAGCAAATCAATCTACGAAAAATCTTCATTCCTTTCTCGCATCTCCTTGCATCGCGCATCATCTTTTTATATGAAATCTTCAGAATCGTCATCAAACTTCTTTCTATCTACTCAGCGTGCACGCAACTAACCACACCACCTGCATCGTAGATAGAGTCGTCCCCCTCGAAGTAATGTTGGTATTTTTAGAATCAAGGTGACATCTAGAGGCCGGAAATCGATGTCCGATGCCATCTTGAAATTCAAGATAATGGCTTCCGATTTCAGAAGACGTGTTAAATACCCTACAAAATGCGTCGATAATCGGTTTTCAGCATCTACGCGTCGTCTCCGTTCCGAAACTACCCACATCGTAGGGTTTGTGAAACACGAACTCTGAAATCATGGATTTATTTGAAATTTTCTGCTCGATATGCCCAAAATGGGCGATTCGGCCGAAGTAGTTCTCTACCCTATTATCTAAAATTAGAGACTTCTAAAATTTCTAACACTTT